GGGGGCTCTTTCCCAGGAGCTGCGGGGTCCCCACTTCCCAGGGCTGGGGGACGGGATGGGGACAGTGTGGGGACACGGGTGGTGTCCCCTGGGGCTGCCTGGGGTCTGCCTCTGACACGGGGGCTGGAAGGGGGAACGCTGGAGGACGCAGCACATGGCTGCCAAACGCTGCGGCCTCATCCTGTTCGCGGGGCGGGGTGCTGGCAGCCCGGTGATGCACTCCCCTCCGTATTTACTAAAATATATGAATGTATTACATGCCAATAACTCAGGGGTCTTTAGACGCCGCAGGCTGGCCCCGCAAACACCCCTGTAACGGCAGAGCGCAGCCGCCACTTCCCCTTCCACCCCCAACCCCCTCCCTGCTTCCCTCTCCCCTCTGTTTTAGGGATGGAGATGGGGACATCGTGCTCTGCAAAGCCCGGTGATGGCCGTGGTCACACTCCCGGATGCCCAGCAGGGACACTGCCCTCGCTGCCACCCTCGCTGCCCACAGATGTGGTTTTCCACCCCTGCTCAACCCGCCATCCCCGCAGCTCCGCTTTCCGGCAGCGCCCATCCCCATCCTCCCCACCCCACAGCACCCTAAACCGGCCCCTCAGCGGCTGTATCATTAGCATATATTTATATAAAATACATATTTTAGATCTATTGCCACCTTGGCATGGGTGCAACAGCCCAGGGAGGTGGCACGGCCAGTGGCCACATCTCCTGGTGGCCCCCTATGGTCTTAGAGAATCACAGAATCACAGAATCCCATGGGGTTGGAAGGGACCTCTGGGGATCATCTCCCCCAACCCCCTGCCAGAGCAGGGCCACCCAGAGCAGGTCCCACAGGAACGTGTCCAGGTGGGTTTGAATGTCTCCAGAGAAGGAGACTCCACCACCTCCCTGGGCAGCCTCTGCCAGGGCTCTGCCACCCTCACGGGAAAGAAGTTCCTCCTCATGTTGAGATGGAACTTCTTATGTTCAAGTTTGTGCCTCCTTCCTCTTGTCCTGTCCCTGGGCACCACTGAAAAAAGACCAGCCCCATCCTCCTGACACCCACCCTTTCAGTATTTATAAGTGTTGTCTCAGAGCCAAGTGACCCTACCTCTGCCAAGGGCCCGATCCTGCTGCTGCCGGGGCTCAGGAAGTCACCACTCACTGCTCAGGAAGTCGCTGGTTTACGTGTGCCCCAAAATCTCTTGCACCATCGCCCAGTGCCACCCCGTCCCCGCGTCACCGCCACCGTCACCACCACCTTGCCCGTGCCACGCTGGGCTGCTGAAATCAGGTTTAAAATAACTGCGCTTGTCCATCTCCCAGGAATAGAGCTTTAAAAGGAAAAGGGAGATTTGGGTGCTTTTTTTTTTTCGTTTCTTTTCTTTTTTTTTTTTGATCCTGTTGCTTTTTTCAGCACAACCCACCTTTTTTCTTTTTTTCTTCTCTTTTTTTTTTTTTTTTTTTTTTCCATGAAGCTCCTCTATTTGTGCCGGGGCTTTTGACTCAATAGGAGAGGAATGCTGTTAATTCGCCCAAGTCGCGTGTATAAATATCTATGCAGAGCCCAAACCGGCCGAGGGGTCTTCTCTGCGGGTCGTGCTGGGGGCTGGGTCCGAAAAACCCTTGGAGGGGCTGGAGGGGCTGGAGGGGCTGATGGCAGCGGCGCTGCCGAGCCCCGGCCGGGGTTTATCTGATGGGCTGCCAAGGGCAGGGTGGGGATTGAAGAGGCTCAGCTGTTCCCAGCTCGGTAAGAGGATACCCCGGCCCCGGCGCGGGGCTGTTTTGTGGATATAACCAGGCAACGGCTGGCTCGGGTGTCGGTGGCCGGACCCTGAGGCGCTCGGCGGAGCCCGGCCGGCCGTGGGCAAGCGTTGGGTCCGGCCGGCGCGGGGAGACGCCGTCGCCTGCAAACCACTGTGGACTTTGCTCCGGTAAACAGAGCCAGCGGGGAGTTATCGGCGGCGCTGCCGGAGGGGAAAGCAAAAGGCAGGAGAGGGTTGGTGAGAGGAAATGTTCCGGCTGGTGGGATAAATGGCGGCGGCCACGGTCTCTGCCCTGCCTCGGTGTCCCCCGGCACGGAGCCGGCCGGAGGCTGAAGGGGGCCGTGGGCCACTTTGCCTCCCCTCCGATGGCCTGGTGCTGGGGCTGCCGTCCCCCTTCCGGGTGGATTTTTCCACGTCACACACGGCAGACCTGCCCCGAGGGCAGGGATGGAGCGGGCACCTCAGCCTCACCACCATCTTGGCACGGCCACCCTGGCACCGCCGCGGCAGCGTGGGGGCTCTGTCCCCCCACAATGTTTAAGGACAGGCTTGAGGTACCAGGGATGTTCTTCCAAATTTGGGGGTTCCTTGGCCAGAGGCTCCAGCAGCACTGGGGGCCACCCAGGCTGCCCCAAACCCCAGCACCGATGGGATTTGGCAGCAGTGAACCCATGCCATGCTGCCAGCCCCGTGCCCTCCGCACGCGTCTCACCGCGGTGTTTGCCAAGGGGGGTCCGCATCCGTCCCCCCCGTCCCCCCCCCAGGAGCTGCAATCTGACCTCAGGGGGAAAGTGTGATTCATGGCTGGAGCCGGGAGCGCTTCCAGGGACGGATCCTGGCTCGGAGGGTGGTGGCACCGTGTGCCCGCTCCTGCCCTGCCTTCCCAAGGTGACCCCTTCGCCCCGGGAGGGTGGGGGGTCCCTGGATGAAGCCGAAGTGGCCGTGGCTGCATGGAGATGGCACCTGGCAGCATTCATCCGAGCTTGGGGGATTGGATGCCACTGGCCATTTGGAAACAGCTTCTCCTCCTGCCTCAGTTTCCCCAGCTGAGAGCTGGGGGGGGTCTCCCCTTGGTGCCCGCTGCCCGCTGTGATGCAGGGGTGCCAGGGGGGTGCTGCTGTGGGAGCCAGCACAGGGTGAGCACCACGGCCGAGTCCCAGGACCTGGCACTTGGGTGCCCATCACATGCACACCACGGGGATGCTGGACCCATCACAAAACTCCCTGGGCAAAGAGGCTCAGGAGGGATCCTGGGAGAGGGACACGAGGTGACCCAGCAGGACTGGGAGGAGGAGGAAGAGGAGGAAGAGAAATGCAGCGTGGGCATGTGCCCAGCTGGGGCAGAGATGAAAGAGGGAGGCCGAAGGCTCCGTCTGTCCTGCAGGGACCTTGGGAACTCCACGGGAATGGGGCCAGACCCTGCCCACAGGCCACAGGCGCCGGCGGCTCCGGCTTATCTGGGTGCTGGGTCCCGCTCTGCCCCACGGCGAGGGGGGACGAGGGAAGCGCCGTTCCTGCCATCGCTGCTCCCGAGGGAGACACCGGCCCAGCCAGGGGAGCGGAGCGGGGACTGATGGGGGGTCCGGCTACAGGGACCAAGCACTGGAGCCCCCACCAGTGTCCCCAGTTCCGCATTGTGGTCCTTTGGTTTTATCTTTGCTCAGCCCAGATACTGGGCTTCAAACACTTGAGTCAAGGCTGCCTGTCCCCCCGGCAGCCCCCCCCAGTGCCACAGGTTTACGTGTGCCCCAAGCAGCGCTCGGCCACGCTCCCACCATGGCGTGTGTGTGCGCACGTGTCCGTGTGTGTGTGAACACGTGTGTGCACAGCTCAGCGGCCACAAGCAGCCCCGTAACACACAGCCCGTGCAACAAGTGCCCCCCGTTCTGAGCCGCCCCGTGGGCTCGTGCGATGGGGCTGCCAGGGGCCGATGTGGGGGGGTTGGGGACCTTTGAAGCAGCTGTGACAGACACCCCGTTTTGGTGACATCCCCTCCTCCCCCTGGCGTGGGCTATGCGTGACAGAGCTGTCCCTTCCCAGCACGAGGAAGCTGGGCAGGGAGGAACCACTGCTCTTTATTCATCCCCATCTCCACGTACAACAACGCAGCCGAGCCAGGACCCATTTGCATTTCCCCTTCCCGTGACATTTAGGGCCCAGGAACCCTTTTATAAAGCCCCTTTTTTTTAAAACAGCGAGTGCAGCGCTGCTTTTGAGCACGGCAGCAGCCAGTGCCCGCGTCCCAACGATCGCTGGCAGGGTCACTGCTGCCCCAGCGCCGCCGAGAGGGCTCCTCGCTGGGATTTTCCATATCCTGGGGCGAGCGATGGGGAGCAGCGGCTCCAGCTCCCATCCCCATGTGGGGGGGTTTTTGGAGTGAGTGGCTCCTTGGGGGTGCAGCAGGGTGGGAAGCAGCACCCCCAGGGCTCAGTGGGGCTGGGGTGGCTGCGGGAGGACCTTGTCCTGGCCACCCACGAGCGCCGGAAGTGTTAATGAGTAATGAGGGAGCAGCCATCCCTCCCGCTGCCCCGCGAGGGGAAGGAAGGGGGGGCAGAGGACGGGCTGAGCACACCCCAAGGTGGCTCCGAGCTCGTGCCTTCCCGGTGCGAGGGGCAGGATCTTCGGCGGCTGCTGAAGCTTGTGATGCCGCAGCCCAGTGTGTTTTGGCACCCTTTGGCATCCATCACCCATGTTTGGGGTGTCACCTCCCAGGGCTCAGGCATGGGGTGGGGGGTGTCTCTGCCCCCCCTCCTGTCTGCCTCTGCCGTGGCCTCGCAGGGGCTGAGCTCCAGCCGCCTCCTCTCCCCGCGAGCGCCCGGCGTCCTTGTGACCATCTTGGCCGTGGAAGCGGAAAATGAGTTATCCAGCTGGGTACCCCGGCACGCTGCTGGTGCACGGGCTCTCTGGGGAGGGGGGTGAAGCTTTCTGGGGCTCTGCACGAAGGGCTGGTGCTTTAGGGAGGAGCCCCTGGACTGTCCTTCTCCACCAGGACCAGGACCGTAACGGAGAGAAAGTTGAGGATGACCTTCCTCTTCACCTTCCTCCTCTACTTTCCTCACCCATCTGATGAGAATTCTCCCCGGAGGGTAAGAGACACTCTCCCTCTCACTGTGATTATCTGGACAATGCCCCATAGCTCTGTGCAAATATATTTTTCAAACTGGTTCTTCTGCCATCTGAGGAGGGGCATGATGTGAAAACCAGGATCTTTTTTTGGAGGTTAATGACTCGGAAGCTGGAGCCGGCGGCGGAAAGTCAACACAAACGCCCTAATTGGGGATTAGCTTTTCCCCAGCTCACTTCACCTCGACATGGGTCAGCAAAGCCTCGGGGAGCAGTGGCGTCCTCAGCCCCTGCCCTGGGAAGGGTCCCTTCATGGTGGGAGTCAGGGGGGTGCCAGAAAATCACTGCCTGAGTGTTTCAGGCCTCGTTTAGGTCTCGAGTCCAGGTTCATGGTGGGAAGGGAGGGGAATGAGAGGCTGAGACACAAAAGCAGAGCAAGCCCCAGCCTTTCTGCAGGCATCACCCAGGATTTGGAGTGACATGCCTGTCCCTCATCGCCGGTACCACCGGACATCAGCAGGATGCTGGGGTTTGCTGGGGTTTGCCCGAATCCCATCGGAGACAGCAACGCACCGGGAAGCCCATGGGATGGACAGGCTTCTGGCTTTAGAAATTCTTCTAGTCATTTCCAGCGGTTGGCAAACTCCCCCGGGCACACGGCCAGGCCCTTGCCAGCCTCCGGGAAGGATGCGGCTCAAATGCAACGATGCAGCTTCAGGAAATGCATCCGCGCAGGGACCCAAACCCCACTGAGCCACAGAGCGGGGAAATACAGCAAAAAAAAATCCCAGCCCACCAGCTTTCTTGCCAGGCTGGTGGCCTCCGGCTTTGCCGCGTGTCCCGGCCACCGAACCTGCCCAGCGCTGGCGTGCGTCACCGCGCCGGCCCCGGGCTCTCCTGCATCCTGTTGTCCCCTCGCAGCCGGATCCTCACCCTGGGTGCTCCTGAGCAGCGCGGGCTCCTGGCAAACGGTGAAATCTTTTAGGAGAGGCGCTGCCGTGCCCGGGCAGGCTCCCCGCGCGCTCTGGGCTGCAGGCAGAGGCTGGCAGAGCCACGTCAAGCAGCTGAACACCCCCCCTCCACCCCCCCACCTTCCCCTGTCATTTCATTTTCAAGGAGCTGATTTATGATTAGCCACAAGAAGCAGCGTGGCCCGGGGTGTTTCACGGGAGGGTGTTGGTGGCCTCAGGTGTGCCCAGGTTGGCCGCTGTTGGGGAGCGCTGTGTCCCCCCCGGGTGCTGCCAGCGGCGGTGACAGGGTGAGCGTCACCCTCGGGCCCGTCAGGTGAGGAACCGGTGGTGGCTGCGGGGAGAGGGCAAGGGCAGGACACGGCCACCGGCTCCGGCTCCTCTCCCGGGGACAGGGACAGCCACCCC